AAACAGATTATTTATTGAGTAGCATTATTTTTTGCGTTGTTTACAAAAAAGCTCGGACAAGTCTTTTTTTTCACCCATTTATCAATTGCTGCTATTTGTGTAAAACTGATATACCGACCCGAGAAGGAGCTTGTGCGCCATTAACTGACCCAGACCTTGGTGGTTTCGAAAGGACCCTTAAGCTAGCGGGGCAAAAGAGCGGAATACAATTTAACCTACGTAATATTTTTTTCACCCATTTTTTACTAATTTATTAATACCCTAATATTTTTTCACCACCAAACCACCCTGAAGGGGAGCGATTTTGCTTGCAGACGGTTAAAACTAGTAGAATTCCAAAAAAAAAATATTTATGATATACCACAGTGCTCTGCTAGGTTTTTATGAATTTATTACCACAGTAGTAATTATTCGTCACTCGACTACTTCCTATGAGAAGTCAATAATTATGTTGGGTTAATATTTAAGGTCATAAAAAATCTATTTTTACAATTTTACGGTACTCTTCTTGTAATTGAAATTATGTATAAATTGCTTGCCAGGTTTTTACTGAATTTTATCCACCCTCATAACTGTTTTACCCCCTAAGCCACAGTTAATGGGAAACATTCAACAAGCTGCGCATTCACGCTAGCTAAACGCAAAATATTTTTGGAAATACAAAAGTGCTCTACTAGATTTTTACTATATATTTACTATATTAGTTATATATATAACCAATAAAAGTTTAATAAGTACCTACCTATTTGCAAAATAAAGTTTAATTCTTTAGATAAAATAAAACGTTTTATTTTATCTGAAATGAATGCATTCCACGAAGTAAGGGTTTCAACAATCAAACGTTTAATTCTTTAATTCCAGGAATCTACGACAGTAATTGACTAGATAATTACCTTCTAAATTTATTCCACAGAAAATGTGATAGTGGATTTTTCCATTTTGTAGGAAGGTCCAAGTGGCGTATACAAAATTCTTAACAGTTCACTAAAAGTAGGTACTTCATTTGCACGGTGCAGTTTATTGTGTATACTAGTGTTATGGAAAATTTGGAAGTGCCGTGTAAACGCCGAAAGATTGGTCCTTTAACAGTTAATGAAAAAACATTAATATTTAATTGTTTTAAATCATTTACAGACAAACGTTTATGTGAAAGTGTTGATGAGACCGTTGAGTTAGTTAGCAGTACACTTGGTGTTGGGAAATCTACGATTTACAGAGTTATTAAAGAAGAGAAATGTGGTAGTTTTCAAATGCCACGTAATGCTCCAGGGAAACCAAAATTTCAAATAGAATATCATTTTAAAGAAGGACTTCGACGGAAAGTGCATGAATTCTTTAGACAAGAATTTCCAACATTGGATAAAGTTCTTGTCTCAGTTCGAGATGATAAGGATTACCCAGAAATGAGTCGAGGTACGTTATGGAAACTTTTAAAAGAAATAGGCTTCCACTGGAAAAAGAATCCCAGAAAGATATCTATTTTATTAGAAAGAAGCGATATTGTCATATGGAGAAGACATTTTCTAAGAACCATAAAGGAAATGAGAAACCAAAAAAGAAAAATATTTTATCTTGATGAAACATGGATCAACGAGGGTTATACACCAAATAAATTTTGGCAGGATAAAACTGTTACAAGTCAAAGGCACGCTTTTGTAAATAACTTATCTACTGGTTTAAACCCACCATCAGCAAAGGGACGCAGGCTGATAATAGTACACATTGGCAGTTCAGACGGTTTTGTTGAAGGTGGTTTATTAACTTTTGAATCAACTCGTACCGGTGACTACCATGAAGACATGAACGCTGATGCCTTTCAAGAATGGTTCGAACAAATGATAGATCTTCTTCCTAAGAACTGTGTAATAGTAATGGATAATGCAAGTTATCACTCCAGACTTATAGAAGGACTGCCCACAACCAAGTGGTTAAAAAAAGACTTGCAGAATTGGCTGAGTTCAAAAAATATTACGTACCATCCCGGATCTATAAGAAAGGAACTTTATTCGTTGTGTGCCCTTCATAAAGAAAAATTTAAAAAATACGAAATTGATGAAATTGCCAAAAATCGTGAAATGACAGTACTTAGATCCCCACCATATCATTGTGAATTAAACCCGATTGAACTGGTATGGACACAGATAAAGAGTGAAGTTTCAAGAAAAAATACCACTTTTAAAATTCATGATGTTAAACAGTTGTTTTTGGAGGCCATAAATAATGTAAAACCTGAAAACTGGGAAAAGGCAGTAAATCACACTATTAAAGAAGAGGAAAAAATGTGGAAGCTGGACAATATTACTGATAAAATGATCGAGCCAGTTATTATAAATCTTGGTTCTGAAAGTTCATCTTCTGAATCTGATTTGGATTTGTAACAAGTAGCTGTAAGTTTTATATTAATATTTTTATTCATTTATTTAACATACCTTAGACGGTTTTAAAAACTCTTTTTCTCTTTTGGAATTTTTAAAAATAAAAAAAAATGTGAATTTCTTAAAACTCTTTTTAATGTAGGCCAGTCAGTTCTAATATAGTGTGTGATAAAAGAGGTCACTTTTGTTTACATACACATAACACTTTATAACACTGAAGTAATTCATTTATTTTTTACAATTATTCAAAGTAATTTTTCAATTAATCTTGAGCACGCCCATGGAGTGGTCGGTGGTACCAGTTAAAATTATGCTAATTACTCTCTCGTTCATAAAAATAAACTATAGGTAAGAAATATTCAAATTGAAATAATTTTATTATGTCTATTACATTAATTACCTAATTGTTAAGGAGGGTCGGGACACCTTGCGCACTTATTGTTAAAAGATTTGTACTTATTGGGTACATCCATAAACCTGAGCGAAGTGTACCGCCAATCAAGGAGTGGAGGCTGCAGTCTTAATCGGATTTTATATTGATACCTCCCTCTTCACCATTATATAACTTTGGCAATTTATTGAAAATATACCGCCTGTGTGCTGTCCTGTACTGAGTGTGTTTTATGCAGAGTACAGTAGCTTTTAAGTAATTTTTAACAGTAAACACCAGTACACATTCATCTACGCACGTTCACGGCTATAGTTCATTTTTAACTCTTGAAATGTAAAAACGTGCATTTTTTATACCGGACGAAAAAGTACGACTTTACGCCCCCAAAATTATAACGTAAAGTGCGGAATTTATGCCCATTTATGCCACTTAGGTAAAAAATATGAAGATAGCAGAAAATACTAAAAGGTTGAAGTAAAAATACAATACAAAAAAATTTTAAAAATCCCTGTTTTGTCAGTTCAAAATTCAACATAGCAGAATTATTGGCTTCTTATAGAGGGGTAAACAATTGTGAAGGTGGTAAATGAACTGGAAAAGCTTTGTAGCACACAGTGGTATTTAAAAATTACTTTTTTTCATTTTAACCTAAGCTACCACAGGTTAGTTGAAAGGCGAAAAAGTAGTAAAAATCGAGCAGAATCATGTGGTATTTCAAAATTTTTATTTGAGTTAGCTAGCTTAAGTAGAGCACTTTTGTATTTCCAAAAAGATTATGCGTTTAGCTAGCGTGAATGCGTAGCTTGTTGAATGTTTCCCATTAACTGTGGCTTAGGGAGTAAAAAATTATGAGGGTGGATAAAACTCACTAAAAACCTGGTAATCAATTTATACATACTTGCAATTACAAGAAGAGTACAGTAAAATTGTAAAAATAGATTTTTTATGACCTTAAATATTAACCCAACATAATTATTGACTTCTCATAGGGAGTAGTTGAGTGACGAATAATTACTAGTTTGGTAATAAATTCATAAAAACCTAGCAGAGCACTGTGGTATATCATAAATATTTTTTTGGAATTCTACCAATTTTAACAGTAAGCCAGCAAAATCACTCCCCTTAAGGGTGGTTTGGTGGTAAAAAAATATTAGGGTGGTACTAAATTAGTGAAAAATGGGTAAAAAACATGTCATCAGCAAAAAGTTCTGAATTCTGCTAGCTTGAACTTTAAGCCAGCAGAATCGCTCCCATTAAGGGTGGTTTGGTGGTGAAAAATTATTAAGGTGGTAATAAATTGGTGAAAATGGGTGAAAAAATATTTCGTAGGTTAAATTGGATTCCGCTCATTTGTCTCTGCTGGCTTAAGGGTCCTTTCGAAACCACCAAGGTCCAGGCCAATTAATGGCGCACAACACAAAGGTGTTATCTCTTTGGTCTTCAAGCTATATTATTTGCCTGAAATATCTTGTCCAAAATTTAATAGTGGCAGGAATTGAAAAGGAGAGGCTAAGGTTGTTTCCAAACTTATTGTTTTTACTTGACCTGTCGTCTTATTTAGGATTTGAAAAATGTGCGAAGACAATAAAATTTGGGCGAATTGATTTAAATGACAGCTTACTATTTTTATTTGGAATAAGTCACAGTTTTACTTTAAAATAAATTTATTTCCACTTCGGAAGTAATTCTCAAAATACAAAACAATATAACAATAACATAAAACATTAATAAATAAAATTTATTAATGTTTTCTATTTATTTGTATATATCATAGGACTGTTGACACTAACGACAGCTGTGAGAGCTGATAACTATCCCACTCAGTCTGTTTTGTGTTAATTGGAAGTGACCGGCACAGACAGGGCCTGTTACTCCGGGTAACATTTTTCCTCGATCATCCTTATAATTATTGAAATATCTGAAATGATGCAGTTATGTATAACTAAGAACATAGTTTTTTTGGAGCAGTGTATTATATATTATTTGACGAAAGCATATTCCTAATAATAGATATGCTATATAATTCTTTTATGTGTTTTATGTATAGGTTCTACACGAAACTTTTTAAGAATTAAAATAAGTTTTGATGTTATTAAATAGAGAATTTCCAGTTTTTGAATTGAAAAACAGCCACCTGTATTTATGTAATAATCAGGTGGAGTGGAAGAAAATCCGCATTGGTTTATTTTTATCCAGTGTCAGCATCTATCTTGCCAAAAACTAGCACAACGGTTAGTCATAACCGGGATCTTCCGACAGTTTCATTTTATTTGCTTGGATTAATCGACCAAATTCCGCCTTTTGACTTATTTCGAGTGTTGTTTCGGTTCGGACAAAACATAAACAACGTGCGACAACGGCAAGTATTGAAAGTGTGAAGTGATCAAATTAGATCGGTGAAAGAAGCTAAATAGTAAGATGAGTGCTAAATTGCGCATGCGTACTCCGTCTCCAAAAACTGTCACTTTCGATCCTTCTCCACCAACCACCTTGGAGAGACCGAGGAAACTTATATTCAGGAATCGCGCCGAATGGGAACGGTATCTTGGTAAGTTTATACTGCCCCTGCCCTGGAATTTAGGAAAAATGTCTTAGTTATTTAGAAAAGTTATTCTGTTCATTTTTCACTTTTCCTTCACATTATAAAATTGCAAAAAATCAAACAAACCTTTGAAAAAAGACGACTGATTCAAACAAAGTGGAATTCATTATTAACAATTTATTACAAATTTAAAAAGATTAGAAAAATTGATATATTGCGAATCATTTTTTATGTGAATTTGACAAAGACTTTTGTCCTTTGGCATATTTTTTCCAAAAGCACCCTCTTAGAATTATGAGCGATTTAAGGGCGAAATGAGGCCAACATTTGTCAATTTTAAAAAATCAAATCTTCGCTTCTAGTAAAGCAATTGTAACGTACAACCCCGCAAAATGTTTGTTAAAACATATATTTTGACCTATTTTTTTTTTGTATATAGCCAGGTTTCATTCTGTCCGTGAATGTTTATTTCGAAAACACCAAAAACACCAAACCACCATAATCTTTGTTAAAATATTTTATAATATTGGGATATAGTGTGTTCCAACGAAAATTTGACCCCCCCTCCTCGCAGAAACCAAGAGTTTTTTTAAAATGTAAAAAACACATCAATTTGTATTAGGAGGGGAACGAATTTTCATGCAACATTCATGCCCTCAAAATTAACCCCTTACTGTCCCGCATCAACCCCCAGTTTTTTTTTGAAAGATATTTTTCCCTACACGACACTCTATATTTTTTTTAATTTTCGGAATAACTTTCAAGATAATTTTGGATTTAACTAATTTATTGGTTGAACGCACTAATAACAAAAACCATAAAATTTGATCAAATTAACCAATTAAATGTTCGAAATGACCTCCTGTGATCTTCATACAATAATACAGTCTATTTTCAAAGCATCTTCGTCCGTTTGCAAATACCTTCGGTGTTAACAATCTTCATTATGTCACAATTCTTTGTCGCAACTCTGCAAGATCTACAGGCGGAGTGGCGTATATTTTTGATTTTAGGGATCCCCCCCCCAAAAAAAAAACATAGGCGAAAAATCCGGTGATCTGGCCGACCACTTTATTGGATCCTTTCTGCCAACCCAACGCCCTATGCAACGCCTTGGAAAGCTTTGATTCAAAGATTGTCTTAAGTCCGTGTCAGACGGTCAAATATTTGATCAAACTATTTTGAGTAAACTGACGTACTGGCGTCATAATTATAGTTTGTTCAAATTTTAAAAATCTACCTGTCACACGATCATTCAAATTTGATCAAATTGACGTATATCAAAGAAATTAATGGTCTTTTTTTGCTTATTTTATTAGTTGCTTGGGCTTTATTTACGATTTATTGTAAGGCTTTTGTGTAATCCACAAAGCACATAAGCATATGATTATTGAATTCACGAGTTTTTTCGATTAGCTGTCTGACATTAAGGATGTGTTTTCTTGTGCCTTTTCCTAGGTCAAATCCCGCTTGTTCGTCTGATATCTGAGGCAATAGAAAAGCTTTTAGTCTTTCATGTATTACATGGAGTAGAACCTTGCTTGCATGGGATATTAGGGTTACCGTTCTGTAGTTGCTGCAATCTAGCGGAGTTCCTTTTTTGAATATAGGGATAAAAGTGGACGTTGTCCAGTCGTTGGGCCACTCTCCGGTTTCCCAAATCTTTTTGTAGGATATTTGGATATTTTTAGTATATCGATAATAATAGACCCTGATGCAATCTTCTACAGTTCGATACCATACTATTTTTTTTCCTTCTAATTGTTTGAGGGTCACTATATTATCTAGACAAGATAAACTTGGTCTAAAAACAGTAAAAACATTCTGTTATTTCCCGAAAAAACCGAAAAAAACATGGCATTATGCTATTTAAATAAACTGAACCATTTTTTCTCTGAACGAAATTTTATATAAATACATAGGCTACAATATTTTAATATAAACTAAATTGCTTTTCAGACTACAAGCGATATGTAACACTTGATTTTCTTTACAGACGCTCTGCTTGCCGATCTCCAAAATACAGTTTCAGGATCATCAGGAATAGGATCAAATTATTCTGGATATGGTCAAAGAAATGTTAGGTATTCGCCTGACAGCGATGGCCATTATTCAAAAACAGAATCCTATTCAGTAAAATCTGTAAGTATTATCATAGAATAAATATTAATCAATTAGAATCAGTCATTAAAAATATTTTTTTATTTTATAAAATTTATTTAATGATTATTGGTATATGTTTATATTATCAACACTTGATTCTTAAGTTGAGTATTTCAAAATATGCACTACTTTATGTTTGGATATTGAATAATTTTAGTAGAAAAGAATAATGCACTGGTTTAAAAAAGAAGTCAACTCCATTTTCAAGAGAAGCAAAAAACTGTTTGACTACGAATTATTTTAATTTATTTGTTTTAGTCATATGTAGGGTTACTCCATTACTTGATATCTAATAATATATTCATAAAATGCGCTTATTGGAAATTAGATTGGTTAACACTGTAATAAACAAAATTTTGGAGTTACCTCATTTTTGCACCAGAGATTAAAATAAAGTCAAAATACAAATTTCAAAGCAGAGTATCAACAAAATGCTAGCAACAATGTAAATAAACATAACTTAATAATGTGAAAAGCTATTTTTCTTCGGGGTGAGCCAATGTTCCTTCTTGACACTTCTGGTTATCATAAAACCACATAAAGCAAGAGCAGATATATTTTGTGTCTAGTTTTTTCACAAGTATTTAGTAAGCTTAAGTAGTAACTGTCCCGAATAGAATATTAATATTTTTTTATTGTTCAAGTGCCATTTCCGCGGCGGAGGTCGGCAATCATTATAGCTATTCGGACTTTTGAGACTACTGCTCTGAAAAGTTCATTTGATCGATATCCGTACCCCTCTCTCATGACATTCTACGCCTCTCTCTGCTTCTCTTCCCTTGGACTTTTCCCCGTATAATCAGTTGGAGCAAGGTGTATTTCTCTCCACGTGTAATATGTCCGTAATATTCAAATTTTCTTGTTTTAATTGTAACTAAAATTTCTTTTTCTTTATTCATCCTTCTCAGAACCTCTGTTCCTCCATAACATGAGACCGCTCCCGTAGGAAAACTGTCTCTCTTATAATTATACAATATCACTTCTGTATATTTCGTTCCGATTTTTATACATTTTACCGTATAAAACAATATGTAAGTACTAAGTACATTATCCTAAAGTCAATACTTTTTACCTAAATTGAATTTATATACTGTACTGACCTCTATACTCAGATATTTAAACTTCTTTCATAAAAAAACATAAACTTATAATACATACTTTATTTATAGAATAAGTTCCTACAGTTTTCAGTAGATGTCGCTATATGTTTTAGTATGTCAAAGTATTTTATTTTCGATAAAACTGTATTTCAGCTTTCAACAGTTTCACCACATACTCAAGTCGTTTCGAAGTATTTATTTTAGGATTTATCCTCTTCGAATAACCCTGAAAATGCTATAAATACATGTATTTTGTTTTCTGCCTACAGGGTGTCTTAAAAACAATATATGGAAATAGTGAGTCATTTATTATTTTGAATTAAAAACTTTTTATCACAATAGTTTCTTATACGATGTGTCCTGAATCAACGCCTGATTTATGTGAGAAAGTATTGGTTTCAATTATTGACTATTTAGGTATTCTTCTTCAGTAAATGTTCTTCATCTTCATGCAGTAAATAGGTATAAATGAATTCTAATGTTTTTGTTAGATTCTATTTAATATCTCTACCTTTCAAAAGGTACTAAAGATAGGTAGATGCACAATTTTTATCCGGGGTCGTCTGAGACGTTTTACTAGTAATTAAAAATATTTTCAACTGGAACCCTTTCCATCGTTGGTTGTAAATTGTCAAATTATTTCACTCTAATTATAAACAGCCGTTCAACAAATCGATGTAATATAAGGTACTTTACGAGTAGAAAAAAATGCTTTACTCTTTTTAATAATTTCATTTGAACTTTTATAACATCTAAATACGAATACTTTGTTATTATAATGTGTTCGTAAAACTTTTATAAAGAAAAGTGTATAATTTTATCCAAAAGTATTTACTAAGAGACTTAAAGATGATTAAAGTATGGTTAAAGTTTAATTAAATTACTGTGTATATTACCAAAAAACTTGTATTGAATTAAAGTGTAATGATTAGACGTCGGCAAATATGCAAATAAAAATGTAGAAAATATGCGCATAAATATGCACGTGTTTACCCGAAAATATGCAAATATTTTACAAAATATGCATACAAATAAATAAAAAAATCGTAAAATAGTAACAATTTTATTTAAAAAAAAAGTGTACATAACTAAATATTTCCTACTATTCATTAAGATTTACATTTATTTTAAGTAACTACATCATTTTTAAGTATGAATAAACTTATTTAGAATTATGGTAACAATAAATGACCAAGTGGTGTTCAAAATTTTCTAACAAAAACTTGTGGCCTCTGTCTGAGTACATATATTTATATATGGAAAAACTTCGTTCAACATCAACTGATGTAACGGGAGCATTTTTCAAACTAACCAAAACATTTGGTTCTAAATTAATTGTTTCCGAAATATTTCCAGCTAGAACACTGACTACTTCAGAAAGAATATGGTAACCTTTATTTTTTTCCATAGTAGCTTCAAATTTTTTTAATATATCTTTTCCAATATTACCTCTAACGTTCCGACAACATGACGCAAATTCTTTTATTAATGCTGTACTTTCGAACAATGACAGTTTTGGTGATTCTGATAATTGTTTTTTGAACAAAACTAAAATTTGATTTTATAAATGAAAGTTCTTGTTGAAACAAGTTACTCTGAAAAGTTTGTTTAGAATCCAAAAGAGATTGGGAACTTTCATCTGTTAACGTATCAATTATGTTCTTTATTTTAACAAAATGATCTGCATAAAAATAGCTGCTTCTAACCATGTTCCCCATCGCGTTAAAATAGGTTGTGGTGGAAGAGGAATGTTAGGTAGCATTTCTTTATAAAGTTGAATTCTTATAGGAGATTTAAGAAATACTTTTTTGACACTGGATATCATGGTATTTACAAGAGGAAACTTTTTTCGTATTTCCTCTGCAACTCTGTTTAATCCATGCGCTAAACAAGTAACATGTATTAGATCTGGGAAAAATATTTTTAAATTTTGTCCTGCTTTCACCATATAAGGAGCAGCATCCGATAAAATAAGCAGTAATTTATTAGAAGGAATAGTTGTCGGAAGAAAAAAAGTTGCTAATGTTTCTTGTATAAAACGCGAAATTGTTAAAGCATTTGTTTTCTCAAGTTGCTGTCATGAAATAAGATGAGATTTTGGTAAGGTATTTTCTTTAAGAACACCAATCAATAAATGAGCAATATACTTTCCTGAGGAATCAGTGGTTTCGTCTACAGATATGTAAAAATAATTATCTGCAATTTCTTCCTTAATATTAATTAACACCGACGAGTATAGCCCGTTCACATTATTTCTTCTTAGAGACCGATCACTTGGAACATTAAGTTTGCAATATTTTTTTAGAAACGAACTAAAATTTACATTTGCTAATTTTGAAAGCGGTATGTTTGCAGACACTAATGCGCGACACAAGTCTTCATTAAAAGTTTCTTGCTCATCTAATTTTTTTGAAGTAGATTGGAAACATTTAGCCATTAGAGTTTGATGTTTTCCTCCTATTTTTCCTTTTTTTGCAATGTGTGAAGCAGTTCTCACATGTTGGTCTATCTGAAATTTCTTTATTTTAACCCAACCTTTAAAATATAAAGGTTGGGTTAAAATAGTATTATATTTGTATATAAAAATATACAAGGTGTTTTTGGTTAATCAAATAACTGGTTTGGAAAAAAAAACACTCGCTAAGTGTTTTAAATGCAGTATTAATCCACAAATTAGTTTTTGTTACTAACCATTAGTACATCATATAACTTATTTTAAAATTCAACAAAAGTTTTTTTTTGATAATTCAATTACAATAAAAATAATTGTGTTTAGAATAGCTGACTTCATAAAAAAAAGTAAAGGTGAAAAATTTTTCTAAATACACACCATTGTATTGTACCATGGACAATTTTTTCTCACTAAAGGAAGCTATTTTTCATTTAAAAACAACCTACGAGTACTAAATTTCAAGTAAATACGTTTATTGGTTTTAAAGTTATTGTTGTTATTAACTAAAAGAATTTAATTTTTTTTTAATTTTAACACCCTGTATCTCGAAAAGTAAATAAGTTTGACCCCTCATTAACTATATCGTTTTGTTCAATTTTTCGAGAAGTATCTACAGTCAAACGTTGTAAGTGTCATTTGGAAACACCCTGTATCTATGAAATATTAGATATTTAATAGAAAATATTAGATATTTACAATTTTGCCACAGACTGAACAGTAGATTTTTTCCATATTCATAGACAGCTCTTTATAAGGTTTAATCCAAGTTGAAGCACTGGTTGTTTTAGGCATTATAAAATCACAATCTTCCTTTTTGTTACGCACAACGAGTGTTTACGCTTTGAATATCAAAACAAAAATGATTTACAAATCTGAGCATCAAATTAGAAATGTTTAGGTACCTAATTCAATAAACTGGGAGATTTTGGAAAATCCCTAAATTAGGAACAAAACTATTAGCCGTTTACCTGCTGTTAAGATACAATAAATTGTAGATAGATTTGGGGATTAGATCATAAAATGCTAATGAGCGAACCCTTAGCGATTATCCAATAACTGAATGCCTCAGTGACCGAGACTTTCTAAGAATGTAGAGGGCTACTTACATTGATCTTCTTTGAAATTGTAAATATTTTGTACCTGTAGAGATTACGTACTTGATTAAAATGACTACAAAATTTTATACAAGAATTGAAATAAATTGGTATGTTTAAAAATCTTCAAATACAGAATAAAAATCTGAACTTTTATGCACTTTATGCAAACTTTTATACAAATATGCCAAAATATGAAATATTTGCATAAAATATGCACAATATGCAAAATATGCAATATGCATATTTGCCGAAGTCTAGTAATGATATATTCAATATAAATGACCAAACGTAATTGTTTCGTTGTGATGAATTGAACTGGACTTGAGAATG